TATATGGTAAATCTCAGATTTCACCGTTCACTTAAGCCAAGGAGATCAAATGGGTGGTGAGATCTGATGACTAAAAAAAGTCTATCTTCATTGGCTTTCTTGCTCTTACTTGTTTCACTAGTTCAATCTGCCATTTGATCTTCTCTGTCTGAGATGATTGTGCCTCTTTTCTTCCTCGTACTTCCTCTTACTTGTGCCTCTTTTCTAGTCTAAGATGGTTGTGGAATATCTTGTCTCTACTTCTTTTTCGGTTCTTCTTTTTTTTTTTTTTTTCTTTATATGCTTTGGCGAGAAATATTAAGGACCCGTTTAGTTCGCTGATTTGAGTTGAGATGTAATGTTATGTGAGAGCTTTTTATCGTAGCAAAAAAGTTAGATGTGTCTATTTCTGAGAGCTTTTTACTGTAACGAAACTCAAATTTTAAACTCGAATCAACGAAATGAACGGGGCCTAATTCTGTTTTTTTTTTTATTCTTGTTTGAATATATATTTTTAAAAATTCTTGTGAGAAGATCGGCACCCCTTGTTGCAATTTAAAGTATCGAAACGCACAATACCCCAAGTATTACGGTAGGATACCGACAATCAGTGAACACTTACCATCGATTTCCGGAATTCGTAGTAGCGTGAAAGATTTTTATGTATCATGGTGTGATGGTGGCAATCTCTGCCCAATGATTGTAAAGTCTCCTAGTAGGATATCGATGGTCATTGGCCGACAAATTCTGGTTGACGATATGTCCAGTACCGCAGCAACTACCTCTCAATATCATAGTGGGATACATGCGGTAACCGGTTGCTACTGCTCAATATATATCTTATCTTATTAGGAAAAATTACATGGTTTGCATGGTTTTGTGCATACCTATGTTTATGTTATTTTAAATAATTAGGTGTCATCGTAACCTTTTAGTTTCTTTTTTATTAATTGAATGATCATTATATATTTTTTAATAGAGTAGCATAAATAATATTTTTTATTACCTTGAGTGATATTTCTAATTTTTTCCTTATTTTATATGATACTAAAGACTAGTTTGGGGTTGTTGTGCTTTTAAAATAATTAATGTACTTTTAATAGAAACACTACTTTTATTTAAAGTAAAAGCAGAAGAGAAATAAAATAAAAAAGCTACGCATTCTAATTTTTCAAAATAACTTAAAAGTGTATTGATTTATGTGCAAAATACTTTTGTGTACCTTTACCAAACACTATAATTACATTGTTTATTGTGTAAAGTGCTCATGGGAGTTTGAAAAGTAATCCCAAACACACCCTAATTAGGTGTATATTTAGTAGTTTAGATGGGAAAAATGAGACAAATACCCATTAAAATGTATGGGTCTTAAATTTTCATTCCTTACTTTTGATTAATACTATTTAGTTAAAGAACTATATTAGTCAAAACAGTATTAATTAAGAGTAAAGAGTAAAAATCTTAAAATAATGCATTCAAAAAGTGAGTTAACTAATTTTCTCATTTTAGATGTGCTAGCATGACACTCTTTCTAGAACTATTTAGCTTTTTGTGGCATCACTCTTACGGGCCCAATTCTATTTAGTATCATCACACTAAATTTGTTACTTTTTTTTTAAAGAGAGAAAATTAAAAATGTCATCATTGAAGTAACACTATTTTATTTCTGTTATTGTTGTAAATTTATCTTATGCTACTAATAATCTACAGGTTATTTTTCATAACTTGCAAGTTATCTTTTATAGTGGTATCAAAATTTTGTGTAGTGATAAAAATAATTGAGTTGAAAAAAATAATAGTTAAACTTAAAATTTTCTCTTTTTTTAAAGAGAAAATTACCTAATATGTCGTTAAAATTTAACAGCTTTATATTTGTGCCATCTTTGTTATTTTTTTTATAAATAAATGTTCTGGTAGAATATCAAAATTATTCCATTAGAATACTTTCTAAAGATACTCGGCCATCTTTGTCGAAAATAAAAAAAAATATATATTCAAATAGATTATTAAGAATATCCTATTATGATATTTTTAAAAAATTGAGTGACATACATGTTAAACTTATATCATTAAATGACATAAATGTAAAGTTGGTATCTTTTGAGTGGTATTTCTATATTTTTCCCATACATACATACGTACATACCTACATACACACATACATATTGTGTGTGTATTTAAAATGCTATTTACGACTTCATTGATTCTTCTTTTCTTTTCAAAAGTAAAAATTCTGAATAGCTAAGAAAACAATAAAATAAAATTGGCTAATTGAGCATTAAAAGGTCAATAGCTTAACTTGCTAACCCAACAAAATTCACTTTGTGGTGTATTTGCACTCTTGTCCATTTACACCACATAATAAATTTATAAAAGTTAGAGTTTTATTCCCCAAAAGCACGTTGTAATTATAATTTTGCCCCTCGACAAAGGGAGTTTGAAACGTCATTTCCAAATATAGTAATTAATGCAGTTGTCCGTTTTTGTCATTTGACATGAGTGTCTATTCACGGTGCTTTGGTCTCCATTAGGTTTTAAGCCTCTTCCTAACCTAAAAATCAAAAGTTGAATGGCCACGACATAGCTTTTTTCAATCCTTTTACAATAAAATGATTCCGCAACACATGTCAATTTATGATTTTTTTTTTTTTTTAGAGTGCTAATGGGGTGTAGCATCTGGAGTGTACAAGAGATTTTTTTTTTTTTTTTTTCATAAACACCATATAGAGCCAAATACTGGGCCCAGATCGCACAGCTGGAGCATAAAAGCCCAAGATAATGCCTGGCGTAAAATGAATATCCAACTTAGCTTGTAAAGTATCAACCAGACTTTTGTGTGTCATCTCCAATGTTGTGCTCATTAATCAACAAAGGGCCCAGCTCGCACAGTTGGAATATGATCCTACAATGTTAAAACTCAACACTCAACGGTACGATTGCTGATTTAAATTTTTAATTTGAGTTAAAATATAATTTTATGTGATAATTTTTTACTGTAATAAAAAAATTAAATATAATTATTCTTTAGAGTTTTTTACTGTAGTAAACTCAAATCGGTAAAATGAATGAGACCTCAGAATCCTCTCAGATTATGCTATTAACAACGTTATAGCAGTTTATATGATACTCTCAACTGCATTATTTTCTCTGTCCATGTCCACGCCTAAGATCTATCCCAATCCAATATAACACGCACATAAGAATCCCCAATAAAAGGAATAACCGGATTTACAGTTGATAAACAGTTATAATTTATAAAGAAAAAAAAAATAGCTTAAAATATTATTTATCCAACATAGAGAAAACCTGTTTGTCGGCCTTGCATATTTAATGCAACCTTCGCAATAGAGCAATAATAGCATTGTACTTTGCTAGCTGTCAAGTAGCTTAAGCTGAAGAACGTTATCATCCAATCAAAAACAAGTATCATCACTAGCTAGTTAGATCACTTGAATTTGAAACCTTTCAACTAAGAAGACCGTGAAATGCGTCCCGAGCCAAGAAGATTCATTAACTGGACTCCACATAGTTTTACAAACTCACCGTAATATAATATAAGGCGCCACGTATCGGTTTCGTTTATTTCATTAATTTTAGTTTTTAATTCTAATTTTATTACAGTTAAAATTCTCATAAAAAATTACATTTAATTTTTTTATTACAGTTAAAAATTCACATAAAATCACATCTCAAAGCCAATGTTTCAACTTTTTTGCCAAGCTTGGCAAGCTCTCCTTTTGATCAAGGTACGACTATTTTGTGGCTAATTTATTGACATATTTTCTAGCAAAACATTTCTTTTTCTTTGCAATTGTCTCCTGATTTAGTTGATAAAGTTAGCAATTAGAGAAAAAAAAAAGTAGTTCAAAGTATAATATTTATCTCTAACTAAAACGTTTTATCGGATTCTCTTAATATATATATATATATATATATATATTAGGAGACAGAAAGCATTCCTTAGTAATACTTATTTTCCACTTTTTATTTGAAGGTTACATATTTTTCACTTTGTAAGTTATGTTTAATTAAATATATCCGTATCTATAATATTTGTCTCTAACTAAACTGTTTTATTGGGTTCTCTAAAAATAAAAAATAAATGAAAAAATTTATTAGGAGACAACAAGCATTCCTTAGTGATTCTTATTTTCCACTTTTTATTTGAAGGTTAATTATTTTCAACTTTGCAAGTTATATTTAATTAAATATAACCGTATCTATTCCTTCAATATACATGTATATATATATATATATAGAAAAATGAGAACCTACCTTGTCTCTTTATTTATTTATTTTTTTTGTTGCTAAAATGAATAATTCATTCAAGCCCTGAAACAAGGGGAACCGCGAAACAAAGGACCAAAGAAGGAAAAAGACTGCACTGAGGAACAGAAACAACTAACAAACCACAGGAACCTAAAGCGAAGAAAAAAAAGACTAGAGAAAGAAGCCTAAAAGAAGAGAAACGGGGAAACTGAGGCCCTTAGCAGGGGAACCGCACCTCAGAATCATGCATTACATCCGGTTTTGCCTATTTGAACTCATATGATTCCATCCCATTTTTTCACACATCCAAACAAAGGTTCGAACCCCACAAAACCTCCCACATGTTAAAACCCAAAAGGTTCAAACCACCCAAGTTTAAACCCCTTACCAAACGAGCCCTTAAGAGGTTTGAGAGAGAGAGAGATCTAAGAGAGAAGAAAAAGAGGTAAGGCAAGAGAGAGAGCTAGGGTTTGAGGGTAAACAAATCTAAGAGAGAAAAAGAAAAAAGAGACGAGGATTGAGGGTAATTCGGTCGTTATATTTGACAGACAAAGTAGGAGGAACCGAGGAATATTTAACAATCAACATGACAAATTCGAACCACAAATAAATTGAGACGTATTCAAAGGTATATAAAAATTGTAGCATGCCCCCTAATATTTTTCTTTTCATCGACAATTGATTTGGTTGACGTTTTCCTTTCAAATGAACAACAAAAATAGTAAGACGAACACATTGATAATGCTGGCTTGTGGCTACAAATAATTCATTTATTAATGATGATACGTGACTTATTACATCCAAGTAGAAACGATTGTTGAACGTCTCAGGCAAAACTATAATAAAAAAAAAGGAGAAGAAGATGGTGAACTATTAGTAAGCACATAAAACATAAGCGTAACTCACTTCTTGCAGAAATCCACGGTTGGCAAAAAAAGAGACGAGATGAACTATTGGACTTGTCATCTCATATATGAATTGTGTAGATAATAATAATAATAATATAAAAAAAAAAAAAAAGCCGCCTCCTGTTTCAGAATAAAATTCTACAGCAGTTTTCGGCAACTTTTAAAGAGATAAAGTGGCTTCATCAGCTTCCACAAACTTTAGCAAGTCCAGGGGCTCCTGTACGTCTTGATTTAAAGGAAACAGATTGCATTGTGCATGTTGTGCCATTAATTGGTCCGCAAGCACCAGAGCCACCATGGCCTCTACCATTGGCACGGCTGCACGACATCAGACCAAAGCGCAAATAACAGATTCAGTTAGTGATACTTGTTCCTCAGACAAATTTATCGAAGAAGAAAACATGACGAAACAATATGCACAGGTGTACACCTGATATAATAGAGACAAAGTTATGCTACCAATAAAACAAAAGAAGAGGGCATTATAAGTTTTAAGGATCTATTTTTCTAATGATGGAACAAAAAAAAGAGTCTAAATCTAACGACAAAGAGAAGAGAAAAAGGAATCTCAAAATTTGGAGGTCAAAAAAGTGCAACTGCAAAAATTAGTAAAATGACAAGAGAAGATGAACTTATAGAGAGAGAAGCTGAGATAATGAAGCAAATTTGATCCGTTGTATAGCAATATACCTCTAGGGACAACACAAGGATCATGGCGACCACGGGTAATGAGTTCTGTCTCCTTTTTGTCTCTAGTCACTGTATGCTGCTTCTTCTGCAGAAATGTAAAAGAATAACAACCAATTAGACGGTACAAAGAGAGCTCTTATTGACAAAACTCTGAATTGATACTTGCAACAACTGCTTTTTAAAAGTAAAATTATTAAGCACACAGCCATCTTGAGCTTCCATTAACTAACAACGTCACAAAGAATTACAGTAAGACATTAATCTATTTTATCACTTAAAAGATAGATAGACTGTATGAAGCATCAATTAAGGAAAATCAACGGTTAGTTGTACATGTTTCATGTAGAAAATTTCAGAAGTTACGAAAGTGTCAAAGATACACAGCGGAAAGTGAACCAAGTAGGAGTGGAGGACAAGAACAAGTAGGCACACCGGACAGCCAGCCCTCCCTTAGTCTCACAGCTTTAAACATGATTATTGCGCATTTTGGTAGAACAATCACCATAAAACATTAAACAATGAGGCCAATGTAAAAAGGAGAAAAAAAACCGCATATAACACATAAATATATATAAGGACCAACATATCAATGTGCATGCTAGTGAACGAGATAGATAGGAGTGGAGAGATCGGACTTACACCAATTGTAGCTGTTGGCTTGAAAGCAACTCTCAGGTTTATGATTTCCCCGTTTGAGACTCCTCCCTATTTGCCGGTACAAACAATGTCAGTGCACCAAAAGTACCCAGTAAAATACATTTAATGAATTTGGCTTGCATCTAAAAAAACGACTAATTGAAGTCTAGGGAAGTACCTGTATCCCACCAGAGCGATTTGTCCTTGTCCTGATTCTACCATGTTCACCAACATAAAACTCATCATTATGTTCACTTCCAGTCAAAAAAGTGCCTGCCCGAATTGATCAGGGACTTGGAATCATTCAAACATACAATGCCAGAAAATTTGTTGGAAATAACACTCTAATGTACTATTATTTAATCATACCCCAATTCAAGAATATTGCAGGCAAAATACAGTCAAAAGTACAAGTATAAGTTTATTTTAAGTTGCTTATATGTAAACCTGCGAATCCACTTCCAAACTCAAAGCCCTTTGTTGCAGGTAATGACATGACAGCTTTAGAAAGCTCGGCTTCAAGCTTGTCAAAAACTGGTGAGCCAAGCCCCTGATTACAAAAACAGATATCAATCCCCGATTGACAGTTTTGCTAAATTAACCAAAGAAAATTGATTCACATAACAAAATGTAAGGCAAGGAAACTGACATTAGTTTTCATACTGAGGAATGCATAATCTCAACATGCAACTTTCATAAAAAATAAAAAATAAAAAATAAAAAACAAAACAAAAAACAAAAACAAAAACAAAATCTCAACAAGCGAATATCACATTAATGCCTAAAAATCCAGAAGCTTGCCCACAAGGGGGAAAGAGGAGGGGAAAAAAATTCTTACACGTGGACAGTTTCTCACAATGCATGTGACAACACCCCCAATTGAATCCCCTCTAACACGGATTGTGTCAATAGCAGCAATCATCTTCTCTGCATATTCAGGATTGGGGCACCGCACTATATTGCTCTCTATCTAGTAATGTTTCATATTTGGAAAAAAAAAAAAACACAGATTATTAGTATTTGAAATTTCCAATAAATACCATAAACAGAGGAGCTATTAATTTTACATATGTAAGTGATATTCAAAAGAGAATCCAGTTCGATAACTGTTTTTTATAAGGAAAAAAGAAAAAGCATATCGTTATCTGACAAACAAATCATTATGATTTACAATTTTCTATGTCAAAAAGAGTAAATTAAATGCTAATGTATTCTTAAGAAGTTTCACGTCTCAAATCACTATCCTAAATTTCACAACCAACATCCACATGCAATACCTGTTCAAGTGTTAGGGTGTCATGATCAACTAACCCCAGTGGAAGCACAACATTGTGTACTTGCGAAACATAAGCAAGAACCTGAAGATGTGAAAAGATTGTGAAAAAGTATTAGAACCCATTAAAAGGCCAACGGAAATCAAGAGCTAATTGAGGGGTGGGGGAATCACAAGCACACAAAATCGAATAATGGTAGGTCAGACACAAGTCGATTTTTGACTTATTATGTCAAAGTTACCACTCAGCTGTAATCTTATCCTGTTACACTTAAATCCTTGCAGTCTCATTTGGTTGCACTTTGATAAAGGAACAATGACTACTCCCACCAAAGCTTTCAGACATTGTAATGTAATATTTAAGAACCCAAATGCAGTAGACTAGACTGACATGATAAAAACATAAAGACCAAGCAATTAAATGCTCATGCATTAGCAAGAATTTGTCTTCGGTATGCTAAAGAAAAGAACAAACAGCAAGAATTTCAGCCAGCTCAAATAAACAGACCTCTGTTCTGGAAAACAACTTGAGAATTGTCTTGGCAACTGCTCCAGCAGCAACTCTTCCAATGGTCTCTCTTGCTGAAGACCTACCACCACCCTTCAATTATGTTTTAAGTTAGATCCAGATAAATCTTCAAACAATAGTCAATATGTATGCTATCATTCTAGAAAAAGGTACCTGCACGGCTCTGATACCATACTTCATGTCATATGTTGCATCTGCATGGGAAGGCCTATATGCTATCGACATTTCGCTGTAATCCTAAAAGCACACGATCATAAAAATATTGGAAATCTAAGAGCCATAAAACAGTTTCACTTTAGCAAGTCCACATTCAAGTAAAAAAAAAAAAAAAAAAAAAAAAAAAAAAAAAAAAAAAAAACTCATTCTAAACTATAATGACTGCTCCAAGCAGTGGCCACTTACATGTCCTCTTTGGTCAGTATTAGGTACAAATACATGGATTGGTGTACCAGTAGTCATTCCTGCAGTGAATAGAAGCAGTAAAAGGTGATCCCAAAAAGAATCTCTTAGCTGAATGAAACACAGAAGAAAAGGAACCCAAAAAAAAAAAAAAAAAAAAAAAAAAGATGATGCTATCGACATAGATCTAACCTTCATAAACCCCAGAAAGTATTTTGCATGTGTCAGTCTCCTTCCTTGGGGTAGTAATTCGACTTTGGCCAGGCCTCCTATAACATAAATTTAATTGTTGGCTTGTAAACAACTACTCCAACTTTGCATTAAAAAAATAATTAAAATCAACAACTATAGATGTAATGATACACTTCAGTGGGGAAAAACTAGAACTCAAAGAATTACTGTCCAATTAATCTGACTAGTTGTGACAAATACAATGAACTCATGTCATACAAATATGAAACTTAAATTCAAACAAACTGTCAAGTCTGCCTCAATCTTTAAAATGAATAAGAAAAAGATGAACCCAAAATTTCAAATCTCAAATACCTTCTATCAAGGTCCACTTGCAAGTCAGCTTCTGATACGGGGAGCCTAGGAGGCACTCCATCAATTACGCAGCCAACACCACCGCCATGAGATTCTCCATAAGTCGCAACACGAAAATGAGTTCCAAAAGTACTTCCAGCTGCCTTAACCTCTGTAAATGAGCAGCAACAATATCACGATTATAGGCTCTCTGACTACTAAAGCCTCAGCCAGAGTCAAATGGTATTTACTTTAGAACTAATCCTTCGTTTACATCCCCGATAATTATCAAACTTGAAAAGCAGTAAACATTCTTTCCATGGAACAAACGAAAACAGTGAACACGGAAGAGAAAGGCGGACACAAAAAATGTGAGGGGAATACTTTTCATTTTACTGTATCATACACTTTATAGGTAATACAATTCCATTAAATCAGAAAACACAATCACTGATTTAAGGAAACAAATAGAGAAAAGGAAACAAGCTAGTTATTCTACTTTCCTGAAATAAGCTAGTCAGTCTACTTTCCTAGAATACAAATATTCTTTCTAAGTTTCATAGATATTCACAGCTATACACAATCAGCCTATTCATAGTCAATATCCAGCCATAATCTTAGAGAATATTTTCTCTGATTTTCCACTCCCCCTCAAGCTGGTTTAAAAATATCTTCCACAGCCAGCTTGCTCGTCATCATTTCAAACTGCTTTGAATACAACCCTTTCGTGAACACATCAGCAACTTGCTCAACTGTCGAGACATAAATCATACAAACTTGTCCGCTATCAATTTTCTCCTTAATGAAGTGTTTGTCAACCTCTACATGTTTAGTCCGGTCATGCATAATCGGATTATGAGCGATTGAGATTGCAGCCTTATTATCACAGTATAGTTTCATCGGTAGTGAAGTAGGAGCCTTCAACTCTTCCAATAAATTTCTAATCCAAATTATCTCACATATACCGTGGGCTACTGCTCTAAATTCTGCTTCAGCACTAGTCCTAGCTACTACTCTTTGCTTCTTACTTTGCCCTGTAACCAGATTTCCTCCAATAAACAACAATATCCAGAAGTGAATCTCCTATCAGTTATATTCCCAGCCCAATCTGCATCAGTGTAAGCCTTAATCTGTAGATGTCCCCGGTTCTTGAAAAGCAGCCCTTTTCCTATAGTTCCTTTTAGATACCTCAGGATCCTGTATACTGCTTCAAAGTGTTCTGGCCCGGGCAAATGCATAAATTGGCTCACCATGCTAACCGCAAAGGCAATATCTGGCCTTGTATGTGACAAGTAAATCAATCTTCCAACTAATCTTTGATAATGATCCCTGTTGATCACCTTATCAGCTTCAGCAGGTTGTAGTTTCATGTTGGGTTCTACCGGTGTGTCAGCACTCTTACAACCGAGCATCCCTATCTCTTTAAGAAGATCTATAACATACTTGTGTTGGTTGACAAATATGCCCTCCTTGGATCTTGCAAACTCCATTCCAAGAAAATACTTTAACGTCCCCAGATCTTTAATCTCAAATTCAGCTGCCAATCTTTCCTTCAGATTTTTTAGTTCCAAGCTATCATCACCTGTCAGGATTATATCATCAACATAAACAATCAAAATAGCTATCTTTCCCTCTTTTGATCTTTTGTAGAATATGGTGGTGTCTGCTTGACTTTGGCAATATCCATGCCGCATCACTGCTTCGCCAAAGCGTTCAAACCAGGCCCTTGGAGACTGCTTGAGCCCTTTTTCGAAACCTGGTGGAGGATTCATAAAAACTTCTTCGAGTTCACCATTGAGAAATGTGTTCTTCATGTCTAGTTGGTGTAGCGGCCAATTAGAGTTAACGGCAAGAGACAGGAGGATACGAATAGAGTTGATTTTAGCAATTGGGGCGAAAGTCTATTGATAGTCTATCCCATAGGTTTGTATAAAACCCTTTGCAAAAAGTCTAACCTTGTACCTCTCTATACTGCCATTAGCCTTACATTTGACTGTAAAGACCCACTTACACGCAACTGTTTTCTTCTCACTCGGTAAGTCAACTATCTCCCAAGTCTCATTCGTCCTCAAAGCGTCCATCTCCTCAATCAATGCTGCCTTCCAATTTGGATCATCTAATGCTTCATGAATGTTTCTTGGCACAACAAGTTTAGAAATATTAGAAGTAAATGCTCTATGAGTTTTGGAAAGCTTTTCGTAAGAAACATATTTAGAGATAGGATGTTTAGTACAGGCTCGGGTTCCTTTTCTGAGAGCTATTGGAATATCATAATCTAGATTGGGTGTTAAAGTAGGAATAGAAAAAGGGTTGCCTGTAATGGACTCAGTTCCAGTACTCGAGGATTTCAATTGATTTGGTGCAGGGATGGTAGAATGCCCCTTACTTCTCCCGAAGACTTTCTTCCTAGAATTAACCAGAAGATCAGGTTTAGGATTCTGATTTTGATCCTTTAGTAGTGTTTCTTTTTCTATTGGAACAACAACAGATTCATCATTAACAGTTTGGGTCTTCTCATAATCGAGAACAAGATTAAGAGTATCAAAAATCATGTGAGGTAAAGGTTCGGATTTCTCCCAAAAATTGTCTTCATTCCTTTCCATTTCCTCCCCCTGAAGGGAATTTTTGGTGAAATAAGGAATATTCTCTAAAAATGTAACATCCATGGTCACATGGTACTTTTTTGTTTGAGGATTAAAACACCTATACCCCTTTTGATTTGGGGCATACCCAACAAAAACACATTTCTCAGCCCTAGGATCTAATTTAGACCTAGATCTCTTAGGTATATGGACATAAGCCGTGCACCCAAAGACTTTAAGGGGTAAATCATTGTTTAGTCTTGAATCTGAAAACCCCTTTTTTAGACAATCTAATGGGGTGATGTATTGTAAAACCCGTGTAGGCATCCTGTTGATAAAGTATGCAGAAGTTAAAATTGCATCTCCCCAAAGATATTTTGGGACATTCATGTAAAACATTATAGCACGAGCAACTTCAAGTAAATGTGTAGGAAATCTCGGATGAGATATTAGAGGAGGATTTTTAGGAGATTCTCTAGTATAGGAAATTAGGAAAGATTTCTGAGTCCTAAACTCTAGGAAAGGGGGCTGATTTGTTTTGGATTGTTTCCCGATTCTGTGTAACAGAAAGTGTCTATAAATAGAGTGTAGAATAGCTTGTAAATGAGATTATTATTCATTAATAAAAGATTATTCATTATTCTTCAAAATGCTTACTTTTTCTATCGGCTATTCCATTTTGTTGCGGGGTGTCATGACATGAGCATTGATGAAAAATTCCTTGTTCTTTAGAAAAGCATCCAACGTGCTATTGAAATATTTTGTTCCAATGTCAGAACGTAGTATGCTTATTTTCGTTTGAAATTGATTTTCAATCATTTTGTAAAAATTTTTGAAGACACTTTCAACTTCACTTTTTTCTTTCATCAAAAAAATCCAACAACGGGTATGATCATCTATGAATGTTACAAACCATCTTTTTCATGAAATAGTAGGGTTTTGAGGGACGATAAAACCACATAAGTTTTATGATGACTTTTAGCCAATAAACAACTTTCACAATAAAAAACCGTAAGATCAATGTTCTTAAACAATAATGGAAACAAGTGTTTTAGATAGAAAAAACTGGGATGACCCAACCGGTAATGCCAAATCATAATTTGTTCATAAATAGAAGACCTAACACAACTCAAGCCCTGAGCTTTTTTATTCCTAGGTAGATTGTCTTCAAGATAGTAAAGGCCATTTACCATCCTAGCACTGTCAATCATCATCCTCGAGCTCCGGTCCTGAAAAACACAGTGGGATTCAAAGAATGTAATTTGACAGTTAGAGTCTTTAGATAATTTGCTGACAGACAAGAGGTTGCAGGAAAGTTTTGGAACATGAAGAACAGATTTAAGATCTATTCTTTCTGAGATTTTAATTAATCCTCTACCTGCAATCGACGAGAATGTCCCATATGCAATTCTAACTTTTTCATTACCAGAACATGGGATATAAGAATTGAACAAATTTGAGGAATTAGTCATACGGTCAGAAGCACCAAAATCTATTATCCATGCTGCTGAGAAACACAAATGAGCATTCATTCTAGTAATTTCTTTACCTGTGTGTGCAATAGACACAGTAGGAGTACTAGATGAGGAATTGGATTTTAGCAGTGCAAGGAGATGCTCCATTTGTTCTTTTGTGAAGGGGCTGGAATTAGTTTCTTTTGTGTTGGAGGCTGCATATCCAGTTTTCTCACCAAGCTTGGATCCCTTCAAATTTGTTGGTTTGCCATGAATCCTTCAACAGGTCTCCTGGGTGTGACGGGGCTTGCTGCAATAATCACACCAAAGCCGAGATTTGTCTTGGCGTCGGTATGTCAGACTTTTGCACCAGCCATCCTCTCTTCTTTGCTAATCACCTGTTCTCCGCTGGTACAGCCTACTTGAGTTTTCTCCCACGGCAACAAGAGCAACTTCTTCAACCACATCATTCGGCCCCTTCTTTCCCAGCATCACATTCCTTCAACTCTCCTCCCTCCTAACTTCTGAGAATACTTCACCAATAGGAGGTAGTGGTTGTCGTCCTATGATTCTCCCCCTTACTTCATCAAACTCAATGTTGAGACCTGCAAGAAACTTAAAAATTTGGTTATCTTCCACCTTCTTATGATGGCGACCATCTAACAGACTTCCATTCGTAGGTGTTGAATAAATCAAGGTCATGCCATATCCGTTTCAAAGAGTTGAAATACTTGGTGGCACTATCCTCCCATTGTCTTATTTCACCGAGTTTTAAAGTCAACTCAAAAATTTAGGATTGGTTCCCCAAATCCGAATACATCTGATTCACATTCTCCCATAGCACTTGTGTAGTTGGATAACACATAATTAGAGCTAATGTCTTCCTCCATCGAATTAACCAACCATGTCATAACCATGGAATTCTCGGCATCCCAAGTAGCATATGCCGGATCACTCTCTGCAGGAGCCTTCTTTTCTCCAGTCAAGTATCCAAACTTCCCACGACCTCGGATATACATACGAACCGACTGCGACCAACGTAGGAAATTATCACCATTTAAACGGATGGTGGTAATTTGAACGGAATGAGATTCTGTTGTCCCTATGGTTTTTGACGGGTTTGAAACAAGGGTGAC